GGGGGGGGTAACCCCTGGAGCAACTTGATTGTAGTACGTATTCTGCCGAATTTAAAGTTACTACATGATTGTATTTATGTTACTATAGCAACATTTAGATTAATGCTACCACCGGGTTCGGTCAAGGATGAGGATGATGTTGTAAATGTTAATAGCCATTCATCAAGCATACATTCATCTTATAAACGAGCACACAAATCGCCTGTAATGAAGCGGAAGGTAGAGTCTAAATCCAGATCTGGTAAGACGACTAAAGTATCTAAACTCAACAGGAACCAAAAGCCTGGCCGCACCCACTCAGATGGGTATGTATATATCTGCGCAAGTTTTCCAGAAGTACGTGTTATATTGAATGAATTATCTCAAGTACAGTGCTCATATATGTTTAAAATCGCAGACGACAGACGAAGAGTGTCGGAGAATCTCTTCAAACCGCCATGGCAGAAAGCATGAAAATGATACAATATGGCTCGCGTGAGAATATGAGAGAATTTCTCTCCATACTGCAGAAGCCAACGCTGGTGGCGCAGGTGAGTCTGTCAAACTACTATTATCAACAAGAGTGTACATGCAAAAAACAGTATATTTTTAGAACATCGAGCTTCCATTGCACTACCATAAAGGATCAGTATGATATCTAAAACACACTATAACACATGATAGGCACCTGCTACTGGTCGAAACCCCTCAGTAAATCCAGGGAAGATAACAGTTGGGGAGTGGACACAATATCGAACACTACTTCGCAGGGCTAAACCGTCATCCGCGATGATTGACGCAATGAGGAAACTCTTCAAGGCAAACCCTTCATATCGGACGCTAATAATGTCATACGAGGTAGAAGATCTAGACGCTGGAGTTATTTTCATTGACGATTTTGAGCAGGAGTATCATGATTTCTATAATATCGATCGGGACAGTGATATCAAGTCCAATGTGCAATCTAGAACGTTAAAAAATTCAGGTCGTACGACAGGCTGGAAGTACCAGTATCGATTCAAATACGGATACGCCTTTCTTCCAAAGTGAAGTGGACGAGGGTAAAATAACGAATACAGATGAATAAATAAACATTTATTAATCTTCCATAGAACTATCTTCATCATCGGAATCAGAAAACATATTGTGATCTTCCCTATATTTCTCATATTCATCCCACATCTTATGCGCAATACTATCACGTCAATTAACCACATGTCTTTTACCAGCTCGGGTTCGTGACCCGTCATTGTTCGGAGTGCCCATATTCGGAAGTATTTTACCATCATACTTCCAAAACAGAACATCTTCCTGATGTAAATATATAGACAATGTATTGACAACAACACAACAATGTTACAACACAGTGTATACTTTTATAAATATTATGTAGACTGTTCACAGATAAAGTGTTCAGTATATACATACCTTGTGTTTGTTCTTGTATTGATTCGTAGTCGTCGAACATATTCATGGTGTCATCTTCGAAATCATCATCATTGTCACTCCATTCCTCCTCGTCACAACGAGGATCATGCGCCCGAATAAAATTAGAAAGGGCAAAGATAGAGTAAAAGAATGCGGACTGAGTTCCGTCATACAAACTTAGCTCTCAGGCAGTTTTACGAGTCGGAAATCTCTTTTTATCTATCTCGAACCCGCACTCTGCTGCATTCTTTAAAGTGCCATGACGTAAATTGAAAAGCTCTTTGTGATCGCGTGGCCTGTCAGCACCGTTATCAAAATGATTCAAATCGTACCTTGTGCCTATATAGGGAACAAGGCAATGCCAAGTATGAGGATACGCCATGTTGGCTAGTGCACATTTTTCTGTAACAATAGCATACATATGAATAATCAAAGTAAATAAACATCTACATAATTACTATATAGTCAGTTTGTAAACAATACATAGTCGGAGAATAGTCAGTTTGTAGACATTGCATAGTCACTGAATAGTGTACGTACTCGTACCTGCGCGTACATATTCATACGTGTGCGTACGTACAAGAACGAGTACGTATGCACACGTACGAGTCCGTACAAGAACGTATAGATACGTACGCGCAGGTATGAGTACGTACCCGTACGTATGAACGCATACATCTACATAATCACGATATAGTCAGTTTGCACACACTACATAGTCGATCGATATTCAGTTTTTAGACACTACATAGTTACTGAACAGTATATATGAGTACGTATGAGTACATACTTGTGTTACGTGCGCGTATGTACAAGATCGAGTACGTACGCGTACGTATAAGTACGTACAAGTACATATGAGTACGTACTTATATGTACGAGTACGTATGCACACGGTCACTTACATACTCGTACGCATGGGAACGTACTTGTACGTATGAGTTGGTATGTATGAGTAAGTATGAATACGCAAGAGTACGTACACGCATGTACTGGTACGTACAAGTACGTATGAGTACGTACGCGCACGTACGAGTAGGTACCTATCGGTATGGACAACGTGCACGTCTACATATTCACTATATAGCCAGTTGGTACACATTACATAGTCGACAAATGATAGTCAGTTGTTAGGCACTACATAGTCACTGAATAGTGTGTTTGCGAGTATGTATGAGTACAATTAATATCTAGTATAAATACATATAAACACATACATACATACCTTTAGGCATTTCTCATCCCGATGTTCTCATTACCCTCTCGTAGACAGCACCGTCATGTGCGCACCCTTCGGATCCGCACAGTGTGAACCGATAACTACGATCTAACCACACACACGCAAAAACATTTTGGCTCAGAAACCCTTTCATGTTTCTATATCTAGCCTAGTCTTCTTCTCTTACAGTATTTGGCATATGTGGGCCATCCTGTGCCCCAATTACGCAGCTAAAGAAGGGCCAGGTCATTTCTTATTTTGGATGGTACCGGAGTGTCTTTAGTAGGCATAACAACATACTTTTTGTAGAGCGCCAGATTGATGTTGTATATTGCCTTTCTTATCCCATTGAATACCGTCCGTGTACTCCGTCCAAATATCTGGGCTAAATACGCCTGTGTGATTTTTTGACCTGCGAAGGTGAACCACATATATAGCATCTCGTGAACTCCTACATTAGCCCGTCCATCAGGTTTATATACCTTTTTAATCTCCGTAATAAGTTTCTCAAAAACAATGAGAGGCATTCTCAAACACTGTTTATGTACGCGGTGGTTTGAACTATTCATTACGCTTTCAATAACCTCTAGTCCACGAAAGTGATTCTCATTGTATACGTTGTCGCGGCGTCCACCTGGACTATATATTTGATAGAGTTTTTCTATACAGTCACCTATAGCGGACATAGTGTTTTCTGTGTTGTTGATAACCCTCTTTTTCATTTTCAAAGAAATATACAACGAAATGAAATACTGCTTCAATATTTTTACGTCGTAAAATGCGAAATTTAGAATTGGCAAAAGCAGCGGAATTGACAATTTATGAAATATTGAAATTTTGAATTCCTGAAAAATGAAATTCAAAATTTCTGCAATATTTTGAAAATATTAAGAAGTTATGGACTCGCGTAAAAAAATATGGATTTAGTTACCGGAGTAAGGTGTTTTGCTCTTTGTATATTTATCATCACAGAATTTTCAAAAGATGGCAAAACCGGCCTAAATATTTAGAAGGCTAACCCGTGTGGCATTGTTTTCAGTTCACAATAGATGAGGCGAGTTTGACGGCGAGTTGGCGACTTTTCTATCTTACGAAGTATAAAAATCAGATAGTAGAGACTCGGTTTTAAAGACCTCTCAATCAAGTGAATCAACATGAGTTTACCGACTACGAACTCAGCATCCCCATCTAGCATTCCTGGACATCAAATATTGCCAATATCAGTTGTGGATATCTCGACACGCCTCCCACTACACATCAGGTTGAGAATGATGCAAATGATGGCTTCGAGTTTGGCACTACAATGTCGCCCACTCGCAAGATCCAGCCTTGGGTCTATTTCGCATGTGTTGACGGTGGACTTTACATGATGGGATTATTTTTCATGTGGTTAGCGAACTCACAGTGGGCATTCGTGCTCGGGGAAGTATACAGTGACGCTCACTTTGTGTTTTACTTAACGTTGATCACGGTCCGGCTAGCCTGTTTCATCCCTGTTATGCTTTTTATGTACTATGCCCGCAACGAGCCCGAAATCCTTTCTAGGCACAGGTTCTTTGCTGCCCAGGTTGTAATCCTAACGTTTCTCGCTATATTGTTACGTATCCTTTATTTGATGCTAGTATTTCAGAAGTTGCCGTACAAGTATGGAACAGAGGATTACACAGTCTCGTCCAACTTATTGAATATTGTCGCACGGGCGTCTGTTTGGGGCATTCTATCGGCTGTGATACTCCGTTTGCGATCTAGTTGTCGCGTGTGGGTGTGTCATGATCTCAATCAACGGTATTGGCCCACACTGTTGTGGCATTCGGTTCTGTTCTGTGTCTGCATATCCACCGCTGTGGTCAACACCGCCAGACCTGATTTCGGGCTGCACAGGCTCCACATGCGAGCAAGAATCTGGATTGGATGGTCGCTCTTGTTGACAGAATTTATCTATTACATTGCTCGCGCAAGTTATTCAAGGAGTCCGTATATCAATATTTGGATGTATATCCGCATCTTTGTGGTAGCAGTCTTATGCTATGCATTGGGTATATTCTCCTATCACAACAGGATGTTCTCTTGCGATTCCTTCCTACTTACATTCCCCATACTATTTTACGTGGTATGGATTGAGCTGTTTGCCCTGCCGGTAATTTCAGTGCTTGCTCGCTACAATGGGTGGTCGTGGTTGGCTGATTTGGACATGATGAATGTAGCGCATGAGATATTGAAGGCCGTTGAAGAGATATCGATACGTGCGTATTCGATAAGATCGTCAATGACCCCTTCCTCCTCGAAAAGTTTAAGGCGAGGTGTGAGAAGAACTTTTTGACGGAAAATTTGTACTTATTGACAATGATGTACAAAATGTGAACTCTTCGTTGGAGTGATCCAACGGAAGCAGCCAAGGTGCTTAACACGATATATCAGCAATGTATACAAAAGGGCGGAGTGAACAGTATCAATATCTCTGCTCAGAATCGGACGGCTCTGTTAAACTTCTGTGTTCAAGCCGATGGTGACTCAACGACAAAGATGGTTGGCAATGCTGATAATAATGATACCCTTGCTATATCTGTGGCGTCCATGCGCACTGACGCGATGATTGTCAAATTGCCTGATATACACTCGCCTTCGAAGCCTGTCAAGGGTGCTAATTTCGGAGGTTGTAGCATGGTATCCGTACAACATGAGGCGAGTCTATCGTCCATAGGACCCCATAATAGTATATCGAATTAAGTATTTTCGGAACTTTTAGTAAGTCAGGAGAGGGTACTACAGATGCTGAGCTTCCATATTATAGAGTTCTACAAAGACCCTGAGGTGGCAGAGCATATGGCGAGACTTAACACCTTCTACCGCCAGCATTCTGTAGTCCGAGGCGGAAAGAGAGGCGCTAGGTCGGTTGTGTAGGCG